GTGTGTGTGTGTGTGTGTGTGTGTGTGTGTGTGTGTGTGTGTGTGTGTGTGTGTGTGTGTGTGCGTGCGTGCGTGCGTGCGTGCGTGCGTGCGTGCGTGCGTGCGTGTGTGTGGTGCGTGCGTTTGTTTGACATCGCTTTTCTCCGTGATTTTTCACCTTTACTTTTTGACTTTGAGGCGTACTGCCATCCCATCCGACCCCATCCCATCCCATCCAATCCCAAACAATAAAAAATAATATAAAGATAAAAGACATGAAAATAATAATAAATAATAATAATAGTAAAAAAAATAGTAAATTAATTTTTTTCAATTTTTTTTAATGAATGTAGTAAAATTTATTTTTTCAATTTTGAAATTAACACTGAAGTGGCAGAAGTACATACTAAAGCCCGGCGCACACGTGAGTTATTTTACTCAAGTAAAATGACGCATGAGTCAAATTACTAATAGTAATAGAGTAATTTGACTTATGCGTCATTTTACCTGAGTAATAATAACTATCACTTACATGAAGTTTATATTTTAAGGCACGATTTGGTGGTTGTACGGGTATTAAAGTCTGCTAGTAATAGTTAATTGAGACAGTGTGCCCAGGTGATGAAAACTATAAAGGATTCGGATATTAGTTAGAAGTGTATGTGTATATTATTATCCAGATGGAAGACATGCACATTACCCGTACTGTTAATGTGTTAGTGTTGGTGTTGTTTTGAAAGTGATCGTACTCATTGTAGTGCAGAAGCCATTATGGTTTCCAGGTCATATGACTGTATATGGTCAAAGATCACTGAGCATGTGCAGATCTGCCAATCAGGTTCTGTTTGTTGTATTAGTGACCCATTGCATACGTGTACTGTGCAGCGGTTGTTAGAAGGTGCTGGTTGTTTAGAATTTTTGGGATGTGTGTAAATATATTATGAGCTATTGGTGCTGAAAAATCCACATCTGTATACATATTTGGTGATTGCAGGCAACCCTTCTATAGTACATCGTAATCCTCAGACCAGATAGGAATACAAATATATTAGTGAAAACCTGTACGTGTGTCTGTGCGTGTGCGTGTGCGTGCGTGCGTGCGTGTGCGGGCCAAAGGATAGAGAACATGGGTCCCAGTAAAACCAATGTGCCTAACCCTAACCCTAACCCTAATCCTAACCCTAATCCTAACCCTAACCCTAACCCTAACCCTAATCCTAACCCTAACCCTAACCCTAACCCTAACAATAACCCTAACCATAACCCTAACCTATTATATTGATATAATATTATATTTATATTGATCTAAATGACATTGGTTTTATTGGGACCCATGTTCTCTATCCTTGAACCCGTGTGCGCGTGCGTGTGTGTGCGTGCGTGTGTGTAATCACACGTGAATGCTTCTGCTAGCATCTACAGCAACGCGGACCACACACAGTGCCATCTAAAGTTCCTTTACTTCCAATATTCTTGGATTATCATCTCGCCCTCGTATCACTAACTGTTATTGAACGTCGTCTGATGTTTGGTTACTGAACAGTTGCGAGAGAGAGAGGCAACATTGGATAGCATCCGAAAGGAGATGGCTTCCCTGAAGGAGAAGCTGGGTGAGGGGAAGAGTGTGAACGTAGAGAGGAACCTGGATGCGTCTCAGTCAGGAGCGGCCGGAAAGGAAGACGACCACGATGTGAGTTCTCAATACACAGAAGCCGACCCTGAACCCCCGATGCCCGTATGAATATTCTTTTATCTCGCGATCGACTCGTATCACTATGTTACTCGAGGACAGTTTTCAGCGTATCTGATGATTGCATTCGGGTGGCGTAGCTAACTCATTTTTCCTGGAGGTATGAGGAAGGCAAAGATATGAACTGTGTGTGTTCTAGGCAGTTAACAGTGGACAGTTTACCATTAGGTATTCATCATGTAATCGTGTATAAATGGGGCTGAGGGCAGTTCCCTTGCCTGCCTCCATAAGCTATGGCCTTGGCATAATAAAGCAGAGACATTGTGCGTGATGTACAGATAAAATTATGTAATACATCAACCTGGACTTATCAGATCTGTGATTGAATGATTCGTGAATTGATCCTTGATCTGATCAGCTATTCACTATTCAGCTGAATTTGTCTCTTGGTAATTATGCTATGTATATATTTGCCCTGAGTAGCTGCACGAGTATTCAAGTTGGAGCTAGGTGTGTGGCATTGCTGTAAGTATATAGATGTGCTGTGACTGGGAATCACCCAGAAGCAGCATGATGAACAACTCGCCGTCCTTATGTATTTATTTCACAGTCGATATATTACAGTTTTACAGGCCTACAATTTTCCACGCACATTGTATGTGTATGGGTCTGCCAAAGGCGCAATAAAGATAAGACACTGTTCGTGAGTCGCAGATGAAATTAGCCCAAGTTGTATTTAATACGGGCATGGAATCTTGATTATTTGGAATGTTTAGAGGATTTCTCTGCCAAATTTGATTATTCAATAAGATCTAGTTGGGAATTCAGCAAAGTTAACTGGCTCTTGGAAACAAGTGAGTCTCTTAGCTAGGTCACACACTTTAGATCTTCAGATATAGTGAAAGGAAATATTCCAGTGCCAGAGGTATGTGCTGGAAATTGCTTCGGGCTGTATTGAGGCAGTAACTCAAGCATGTCAGAACGACAAGGTCACGTTGCAAGTACACTTCATACAATGGCAGTGATAAGCTGTTGCAGTATGGTGTAGTGAAGTGCAGTAGCTACACTCAGAACATGAATATGGCACTTGTTGAGGCGTGGCTTTTTTTCTCCATATTTTCAAGGTTTTTACTGCTTTCATTAGCAAGCTGTAAAGTGCAGTGTTGTGAAGTGAAAGGACTCCCCCCCCCCTGTGTAACTGTTCACCCTAAAATTATATAGCATCACTGTAGATTATTTGTTCAGGGGAGCCATTGATATAATTGAGTTAGAAATGAGTGGTTAAGTTATTAAATCAATAGGGTATACTGACAGAACTCCGCTATGTAAGCCACAAATAATTATATAGTTGCCTGAATAACTGATAGAAGAACAGTTTTTCAATTACGTCAGTCGTGGACAGTGTCACGTAGCGTCTGTCAGTAAAAGGGCTCAAGGTCACTCCGCGTATATATATATATATATATATATATATATATATATATATATATTTCCTGTTTTAGGTAGACAACTCCGATGAGGTAACATACTGGCTGAAGAGTGACCTACAGCACGCTAAGTGAAGTATTGCCGACCTAAACAGAAAACAGGTATGCGTAAATGACCTGTGCTCATCTGCACTGAGTTTTGGCAAACTTTTATTCTATTTCCCGACGCAAAAATCATTACAGCGAGTTGGTTATAATAAGCTGTGTGTGTACGCGGCTGTGGTTGTTTGTGTGTATATGCGTTTTCCATCTTTATTTTAATATCTTTGTTTGGATGCTGCACAGTCATTCGTAGCGAATACCTGTTTTTATATATACACATTGTTTGTTTGCCATCTCTTGATATATGCATTGTATGAATTATGGTTTCTATCAGTAATTGCACGCTAGGCTGACTTTATCGAATAAGCCAATTTCAATATTGACCGTGCACCATACGGTACTCGCTCTCAAAATAAGAAATTTGAGTAATTTATCTATCCTCAGACACCTCTACCTCCGTAGACGTGTCACTCCCTTTGTCACGTGTCACTATTAAACCGCCCCTGATATATATCAAGAGTAGATAATAACTACATGTGTTGTTATTATCTACTCTTGATATATATATATTATATAATAAATATATATGTATATCTATATATATATATATATACGTATTTAATTATATATATATATATATACTGTTGATTATCGTAATAACTAAATGGGATTCTCTCGGTTGTAGTGACAGAGAAGGACGTGACCTTGAACAACTAGCACAGGCAGCCGACACAACCTCAACTACGCGCCGACGGGCGACGCCGGCGACGGGCTTGCCGCCACGCGGCGCGCCGCCTCCGGCTGGCCGAGCAGCGCAACGACTTCCTCCAGAGGGAGCTGCGGCGCTACGAGCAGAAGCTGCAGACGCACGACGCGCGTCGATGCGGTGCAGTATCAGCAGTGGCGCCATCTACAGGAAGCAAGTGAGTGTTATAGGCTGCGCGGCGAACTTCAAGTTTCGTTTATAGAATTCTAGAAGATTTAGAGAAATTCAAGTGAGTATTATTCCGATGTGATAGCGAATGCTTCTTGTACCCAAAAAGTAGTATATTTTTTATATCTGGGTAATTCAGTTATCTAATTTTGGTGTAATGAAATGAGAACCATTACTGTAATTTCGTTATAATTTCTCCCCCCGACCCACCTGTAATTTCGTAAAAACATTAGTGAGAGGATAGATGGTTAGTATAACCATAAGTAACTAACAAAAATCACGTGCTGATACTTCAGTGAATAGTCTTACTTCAAATACTCACCTACTTACTCAATTACCACAAAATTAAAAAGCAGTGATCTAATTTGGTATGCAAGTTAATGTCTAATAACTTGTACATTCATGCTCTATTTCGTGATCACAGACTTGGGAGACTGAATGGCAGGCGGCTGAAAGAAAGAGTTCGATTGCTGAAGCAGCTGAGAAGCACAGCGAGCAGAATGACACAGTTGTTTAGTCAGACGCCCTACATAAGAAATCCGGTATGTGTGCTATATATTATGTGTGTGTGTATATATATATATATAAATATATATATATATATATCAGGAGTAGATAATAGGGAAGGAGTGTGACATCAATAAAACAAGGGAAACTTCGTCATTTCCTAGCCTTATTAATCCTACGATTTACTACGCGTAATCATCAACTTGAGCTTAAATCGTACACAGTACATTTCGGCCTAGCATTCGTGCGAATCGTTTCGTCGTTTACAGAAAGCAATCCGGAGATACGACTAAAACGTACGACACGATTTCCATTCTTTGGCCGCTCAATCCAAGTGCATTGCCCGCCTCTATTTAAAACAAAGGGCAGCTATACTGAGCGGTCTGTTGCTGTGCTTGCTCTCTTGGAATGTGGAATGTGGCGGTGTGGCTCGCGGGAGATTGGACATCGGCGAAAACCATAGACGCAACGGCCGAGTGCTAACTGTAGCCTGTATGCTGTAGCCTGTAACCGTGCAGCGACGCATCTCCCGCGAGCCCACCGCCACATTCCACATTCCGATGAGGCAAGCACAGCAACAGCGCGTCAGTATAGCTGCCTTTGTTTTATAGAGGCGGGCAATGGACTTGGATTGATGGCCAAAGAATGGAGAATCGTGTCGCACGTTTATGTCTGTATCTCCGATTGCTTGAGTAACGAGGAAAAGATTTCGCACGATGCTAGGCGATATGTACTGTGTACTGATTTGAGCTCAAGTTGGATGAGTTACGCGTAGTAAATCGTAGGTATTATAAGGCTAGTAAATGACGAATTTCCCTTGTTTATTGATGTCACACTCCTTCCCTATTATCTACTCCTGATATATATATATATATGGACTGTATTCTCTGTATTGCTGCAGACATACAACTTATTACATGAGTCTTCATGCATATATCTGTATCATTGTCAAATATGATGAAGCCTCGTGTTTTATTGTTTGGTTTATCACAAGTCATAGGCGATAAATCTAAATCTCAGTGCTAATGTAAGTATAATGCTGTGAACATTACATTTTACAGAGCAAACAATTTGGCGAAGATCTGAAGAGTACAAATCTGTCAATAAACCCAGCAGAAAAGTTTACCAATGGTTTAGGAGAACAAATTATCACTGTCCAGGATGACGTCTTTTTCAGGTACTGAAGCTGTAGGACAAGAGTGATTTATATGTAGCCTTATATCAAGATCATGGCTTCTCAAGCAAATTATTGCCATAAATATCAATGCTTTGCTTGTCCTAGATGGACATACGGAATGAATCGTTGGTCTAAACTAAAAAAATAAACAAGCATAATAAAGAAGCAAAGCAAACACAGTTGCAATATTAACAACAACGATCCATTTTTTTAGTTTTACTGAGTTGAAGACTACTATAAGTCCAAACTAGTAGCTCGTTACTAATTATTTCAGCTCTATGGCATCAAACCAACATGGGGTAGTACAGCAAAGCTAAACACGTACAAGCACATGCAAATGCACACGGACACATGCACATTTGCACAGACTTACGCACGCACGAACGCAAGCACGCACGCACGCACGCACACACGCACGCATGCATGTACATCCATACATACACATACATATTGTTGCACATTGCAGAGAGCAGCTGGGGAGTGAAGACTTGAGTCCGCGCTCACCAATGACACCGCGGTCCGAAAATGAAAACCTACGAGAGATTGTTGGTAGGATTCAGATGAACAACGAGTAAGTGCACGCTAGCATGAGTGCTTATGTATGCATCTGGAGTAGATAAAGGCGTAATTTCCCAGTTTATGAATGAATGCACCCAATCGAGTACTTCATAGGTGACATGGAATCTTAAGTGAGTGTGCTATTTCTGTGTTTTACACAGTGCCAAATTTTCCGTACGTTTTTTTATTTACTGTAAGCAGTACTGTCACTCTAATATTTTAATGAAGGTAACCTCTTGCTGTAAATGTAAATGATGAACTATTGTGTGTAGGTAGTTGCTATGCATACTGTAACCGTCGTTGATGATTCCATTGATTTGATGTAGGCTGGTAACAGTAAGAAACAATCGACTGGAAGAGAAGGTTTCCAAACTGCTCCAAGAGCTGGAAGATGCAAATGTTGGCCTCAATCGTCTCAAGGTTGGCATGCACAATATATTTTTTCTCAAATATTCCACGTTGTACTTTGCATGTCGACACCTCTACAACTTGTGGCGGTCATACATGTAGATATTCACATTCCACCAAGTTATCATTTATCGTGTTTTCACATTTTTTAATTTGAATGTATTAGGTCAAATAATCTACATATTATAAGTCAATGAACCTTTGCACAGCATCATTAGTGGCATAATCACGCAGATAATAACAGGACGTGTTGATAACACGTAAGAAAACACTGTTTTATGATCTTACTTTTGACAGTATGATATTTGACTGCACTAGCGGTTAGCTTGGTTGGTGTAGTAACTATTAGCAACAGTGATTATCAACATTAATTGTGCTCCATATTATCAACATTATTATTATTATTATTATTATTATTTACATTATTATCAACATTAATTGCACTCCACATTTCAGGCCGTACAGGAACAGTGTGTGGATCAACAGCTACTCATAGAAGGTCTCCAGGAACAGTTGAGTGAGAGCAGGTAAATCATACGTCTTCGAATATTATCCTTATACCATACCTTGTGCCAAAATTCGCAGTATTTATATTTACACAGTAATTATGTTGGATAAAGCACCTCAAATCTAATACATATAGGCTGTGGTGAACGTACTATGAAAGAGATGTTTAGCTCTCAACTAATAAATCTGGCCAGGCTCATAGTGAATTGGTAAGATATTTCTCACAAGTTCGAGCAGCAAGGAATCAGTTCATGTAGTAATTTCAGCTACACCATTACTCATGCCACAAGGATGTTATACTATGTATATAATTCACATTTTATACTAGACATAGTCTTATTTTAAAATTGTATATGCTGCGTTCACACGAGGAGTAAAAGTTGCGTTCACACGCTAAAATATACGCGGCTTGCTTAGCCGCGATTGCTCCGGCTTGCTTAGCGCGGAATCATATTCCGCGCCAACTAAGCCGCGTATATTCGGCACCACGCTGGCCGCGTATTGATTGTCGTGTGAACGCATTGTTCGTGTTGTTCGCGCGCATTTGTGAAACGCCTTGTTCGTGTGAATTGCGAAAGCTGTAGCGCTCTAACCTAGACTGCTGTCGCTGGGCACGACGTTAAGTGTAGCGTGTGGAACTTGTCGACCGGGGTACCAGTCTATAATTATATCCTAGCTAGCTAAGCGCTCGAATGCGCCCCCCCCCCCCCCCCGGCTCGTGTATCTCGTGTGAACGCATTTTACCAGAACTTAGCACCAAACTAAGTGCGGTACCAGCTAGGCCGTGTATAGTTGTGAACGGCAGCTATAGACACATACACACTGTTATGTACATTGTTATACACCGTTACTCATTGTTGTACATTGTTGTGCTTTGTTGTACATTCTTATATACTGTACAACGTTGTGTAGATATGTTTATGTTAATACCAATATGTTCATGTTTTCCCCTATATAATTATAAA